AGTTGTAATCATTTGGCGCATACGAGTAGATTGTTTGAAGGAATTATCATATAAAAAGTTAATTCACAAAATAGTGGAAATACTATTAACTGTTAAATTAAGTTCAAGTCCTTTATTTAAACTTTTTACTGCGGATTCGATTCACTTTATGCTAATCAATGATATATCCAATGAAACACTCATTTAAGTGTAGTTTTAGATCAAAGCCTTAACACAATCTGAGAATCGCTTCAAATTTACGCAAAACCTATGAAAAACAACTCCAGTATTGAAAAGGAATTTTTAGGACAAGTACTTTAGGTGTAACCCTGACCTACAATGACCGCACCAATGCTCTCTGCCCTCTCGCCACACAATGGACTCATACAGGTATGGCTGAGGTATGGCAGGTATGGGTGTTGTGGTAGGAAACACACGAAAACAAAGTTACGCTCAAACTATAACTTCAAGTGTAATAGAATTTTGGCGAAAGGAACTGAAAAGTAGGCCTATCCTTAGGAATGCCCTCACGATATGGAAGTGCTTTAAACAGTTTCACTTCCACTCTCTACTCCCTCTCTGTGTACACTGAGAAAGTGGATACTTTCCCAACAGGGCTATCAATGGCTCATAATCTCAATGAAACATAAATATATCAAATATATTCAAAATTAGAAAATAAATGTTTAAAATATAATTAGAAAATATAAATACGGATTCGTTTGAGACATAAATTCCTAGCTTTGCTTCCGTTTTAAAAACTCCAGACAAATAGCAAAAGAAAAGGCATTTTCGCAAAAAAATATCATACGTTTGTGCGGTTGTGTGCCGGAGAGAGAGAGAGAGAGAGAGAGAGAGAGAGCTATGATCGACATATAGAGAAAGAGAGAGCACTGATAGCACTGTTAGTAGTGTTGTGTGTTTGGTGTTGATGTAGAGAGAGAGAGAGAGAGAGAGAGAGAGAGAGAGAGCACTGGTAGCATAGCTTATTGATAAAGAATAGAAAAATTCAAGGAAACGATGACAGCGTAGAGGAAATGTATGTTTATCCTTGACATTCAAACACAGATTCTGTACTTGAATCGCAAGCGAATATTAAAGTGCTTCTCATGTATGCAATCAAATCATAAGTCATGTGAAGATGTCTTACCGCCAGCGATGACAACCACTGCACAGAAGAGACCGATCTCTTGATCCGTTAATCGCAAAGCATTGAGTCTTTCGGCGAAATCAAACATCGAGTCCAAGAGGAACCGGGCGTTACTCGCAGAGTGTAGGGCTTCCCGTCTCAAAACCAGACCGTTTAGGCATATCATGGAATTGGAGTGGGAGTCAAACATACAGGCCAGTCGTACTAACAGCACTTCAAACACTCCCGCCTATCGTGAAAGACAAATATTATGTGAGATGATGGCATCGCAAGCGTTTAGAAATAGACGTGTATCGGCAATACATACCTTAAGCAGGGTCACCTGGTCGTCCTGTGATAGCATACCGAAGCCCGGTATACGTTTGGCAAACTCCACGACCCCTCTGATTGCTGGCGAAAATCTTTCGCTAAAGTCTTCGAGTATACGATTTGTACCGCCATTTTCAATGACATGTTGTGGCAAAGGATTCAATGGACAGGCCTTTCACGAGAAATCATTACAATTTAGTACAAATGTACTGTCATTTGAGTAATGTTTGCGAGAAATGAGCAAGGCACTCTAGACAATGTGGGCACATACCATTTGTGGGGGACAGTGAGCGTAAACCGGTTGAGTGCGCGACCTCTCGATGAGCGGCGCGACCTTATCGCGGGTGTAATCACAGGTCTCTTCGTGGGCTTTGATGATTGTGGTCAACAGACGATTGTCGTCCTCCAGTTCCACACACAGAGCTTTTTGCTGAGAGTTTGCGTTCACTTTTTGCATTGCGGCCAAAATCTTGGCCTTTTCGCGCTTAGGCACGCGACCAAACCTCACCGCTATTAGGGATACAAGTCGTTAGTCATCAGTAATCAACACATTTGGACACTTTGTTCAGTGCGAGTGTATGAACATTATCAGTACAAACGGAAAAATATGCATGCTACCGGGTATGGCATTATAACTAAGACATGATTCCGAGTTAAATAACTATTCGCTGCGATATTGGAGATCGTCTTAAGATTACGTATGCGTACGAATCATGTAATAAGGGTCATTTTAGGGGACTTTTATTTTACCTATAAATAACCGTTAATGTATTTTGTATTTTTATACAAAAAAGTCCTTGAATTTGAAAATAATTCATTGATAGACTGTTAAAACAAATGATAAACCTATCTATTTATGAATCTGGAAATAGATTTTTTAAGTCCTCAAGAGTTGGCCAGTTTTAAGTACTCTAATCGGCTAACTAATTGTGATATTGAATGGAGTTTTGGGCTATACATTCATTTCAAGTGATAGGCGACTGAATATGAGTGAACAGAATCTCTCGAAACACCTTTTTATTAATTATATCTCAAAAAAATCAATAATTCTTATGATTTTTGAGGAAAAATAAATAACTTTAAGTAACTATTTCACAATTTTTAATAACTATTTTAACGACTGTCAAGGTTGCTTTACCACCTTTGTCACCAGTCTTTAATAATAACTGTAAATTATCTACGCGCTATACACATTTGATAACATGGATAAACTGGTACTACATATTCATATACTCCACGCTGGTGTACAACGGGGCAAAAAATGCCCATAAAAGTGGTCACTAGAGGGGAGACTAGAGATCACGGAAATACAGTTATATATATAATTCCGGTATACATGAGATGGGCTCACAGACACTATAGGGAAGTGATACACTATATGACACATAATATGACATAAATTAAAATATGAAAACTCCTACCCATCGGCGACCAAATGAAAAAGTCACTTATTTGGGACATTTGATGGCCACACGGTTAAGGACACAATACTAATACACTATAGTCTATAGACTAGTCATCAGTAGGCAAACAGTCGTTGTATGCAATGGTGTCGTAATGTAGTGAAAGTGACATAAATTGCAATTAATGTATGTATGGCTGTATGGCTGCCAATGCAGTGCTTGTATTTCAAGGTGAAGGTCACTCCATATGATAAACACCACTCAAACACGTAATAAAATTGGATATATTCTGGTCTACTCTTAACACAACTGAGCGATCATTTGGATACAAAATATGGATTCTGTGGTCAACTATACGATCGGTATGAATATGTCACTATGTCACCCTGGTCCTATAGTTACATACAGGTGTACGACAATATTCTTGGATTTCTATTTCAATGCTACGCTAAATATCACGCATTTCTCGGAAACATTGCAAACGGAATCAATAATTGAGACATAATTTGAGCGCATGTTCTGTACTGACAGCTATTTTCAGCTATTTTTAAAAACACGAGTTGCTATCATATATTTACGTCAATGTACAGTATAGGTGCTATATTTCAAGGTCTATCTGTGGAGGTAAATATTTGTCACAGTAGTGGGCCATTCATTAGTACGTGAGAACACTTATTGCCTAATAATGTATGCTTTCCCTTACTCTATCCGTGTACATCAGTAACATAGGACTGTAATATGACCTGGTCCATATTGAAGTAGTCTTTAAATTATTTTTAATTAAATTCAATATAAGTTTATACTATTAATAAACTGAACAACTAAATATTACGCATACTAATATAACTTTAGAGGCTACTTCAATATCAACCTGGTCATATTGTGTACGCAAGCCTTGACCCCCCACCCGGTGCGTACCTACTTATTGAATGACCCTTAGGTATAACGTCAATACTATAGGCATACAGTACTATGAGAGCAGACTATGTTCTACTTGTGTTAGAATACAGAATATGAACCACTAATAGACAACAAGACTGTAATGCGGAAAGTGGTGCCACACTGTGACACAGATTCAAACGAAATACAATATAATTGATGTAAACTTTTGGATAGTTTTTATGTCAATAAAATATGCACTTTTGGATACTCTTTACTCTTATGGGGTTTTGTATGGGTTTATGAATGGATTGGTTACGAATGCTGTGGTAATAATGGATAGATTGGGAGCGGATGTGCTGTACTCACCATCTCTGGACATTCCGACTGCAATGCACTTCTTAAGTCTGCAATACTGGCACCGATTCCTGTTGATCCTGAGTATGGAGCACTGTTGGTTTTTGGTGCAGGGTCGGTATTGTATCTTTTGTTGAATACTGCGTCTGAAGAAACCCTAAAATTATGGAAATGAAAGGCATAAGCATTGGGAGCCGTAAGAGCCATACGTAAGGCTAGAGGAAAGGGAGCTTCTGGAGGAGAGGGTCTCTCGGATATTGTGTGAAAGAGTTCAAGGCTAGAGAGGAGTTGGGTGCTTAGAAATGAGTTGAGTTCATTGAACTACTGGTGCCCTGAACTTGAACCTGAACACTCTGTCGTGAACATGTTTGGCGATGTGATGTGTAGGATAGTGTGTTAGAGAGTGGAGTTAGAGTGCAGTGTTGGTAGTGTTGGTAGGAATGGTAGTGTTGCCGGAGAGGGCATTGAACGGCTTCATTGCCATAACTACACTAACTTACTGTCATATCAACTGCAGTGCGTTTGGACGGCCGTGAACTCACAGCACCGCTGCTATACTTATCCCCAGCAGTCGCTGCTCTCCAGTCTCTCTAACATTGTTTTGTTTCACATATTATATGTAATTATAACAAAAGAATCGCTAATTTCTATCGTAGTCTAAAGCACCAGAATATGTTCATAGGAATAGCATAATCATAGATAATATCACGGTATTGGTATGGAATATATATATCAATATATAATGGGATCGATATGTGAGATATTGTGGGGATGAGAGACACTAGTGATGAGAAATATATATAGAAAGGGTGACCAACCTTACAGCCTTCACACGAGTGAACTCCATAATGAAATCCACTCGCTTTGTCTCCACACACCCGACATAACACTGTCGTCCCATCGAATTCTGCATAGAAATACATAATTAGCATAAAATATATAACAAATATTTAGGAATAAATTTTTCTAAAGTTTATACATTTAAAATAAATATATTAGATAAATATTTGTTGGCAATAAACTGCTATATAGCTATATTATAGCTACAGAGATATATCGCATTAAATTAAATGAATGGCAAAAAAGCAGTTTCACTCGCAATGCAATGCAATACAAGAAAACTATTAAAACGAGTTATCTATCGGTGGGTTCATTGACCGCATATAACACTCGAGTCGTAAGCAATTATTGGTACGAATATTATGGCAAACTATGTGAGAATATCTTACATATAGTCATAAGAATTGGATATTTGTCGACAAATATTCAAAAATTATAAAAAAATTAGCCAATATTCACGAAAAGTGAACTGGATACAAAGTGTTGGATAGCCATAAGCATACGAAATACTTACCAATTTTCAAATCATTATCCTTTCGGTCATTTTCGCCATCATTCTGTGGCATTGAGTTTAAAAGTTTCAAATCTTTTTCACTTAAAATCATGTTTAAGCCAAATGTGTAAGCAATGAATACTCGGATTCACACAAATAGTTACAAATAACTGAGAAAAAAGTATTTCTATTTGACAATAGAAATAAGACCCAAAAAATGCATCAAATTGTTTGGAGTCATATAAGTTTTGATCAGGATACAAAACACTTGATCAGGATCAAAAGCACACTCGAAATGACAACTGAAAACTGATATTTATAATAAATAAAAGTTTGCGTACAAGTTTGTAATCAAACAATAAGTTGATTAAAACTCAAACTCATTGACAAAACACTGGATAAGAAGAATAGTCTTCTTCGAGATGATCGCACTTCGGAGCGAATGGTAAGCACTGGTAGATGTGTTTGGGAGTAGTGTTGGTGTCCTGAGTGAGCACTGGTATGAATGTTTGGATGGTTTAATCAGTTTCAAGGTTGCGAATAACAGCGAAAGTGGTCCGACAGGCCTGTTATGAGACCAGCTCTGGAGGGCGTCATCCCTACGACACGCACTCAACGCGCGAATCAGAGCCGTCTTTGGGTGGCGTTTAGCCAAACGCTGGCATTCACTCCAACACTACAGTACAGTATACTCTCTGTATGTATATGTTGTGTGTATTGCCTTCACTGAGAGCTAAGTTCACGGGCTTTGCATCGCCCTAACGATTACCGCTTCAATTGGAGTGTCGGTCGTTGTCGTCCACAACACTACATGAAGTATGAAATGTTTATAATATATAAGCGAAAGTTGAACCGAGTTTACCACCAATGTTACCAACTTTACCAAGTTTAAAGGTTATTGACTGCACAGACATCAACACCAAACACACAACACTACTAACAGTGCTATCAGTGCTCTCTCTTTCTCTATATGTCGATCATAGCTCTCTCTCTCTCTCTCTCTCTCTCTCTCTCTCTCACTCATCAACTCATTGCCAGAGCATCACATCATTACATAACTACATGACTGCCCATTATTTGAGCATTTATACCAATATATATATATTCAGGCAATCATTATGTGTATCATCGCTATTGTTACAAAATTGAACCCCATTTCCAATCGTTTAATTATGAAAAGCATTGCATATTCTGTACATTACTGTAGATATCAATACATTAGCCACTGTTTCCTCTCAATCCACTCGTATAACCAAATGAATGATTGCTTTGCTCTACAAATGTCTATTCAAAACGACTCTCGTATTTATTTTAAGCTCTTTTGAGACCAGAATTTTATGGCTTTTATTGTTTTGGATGACATGTCGTGTTTGCAAAGTGTTGGACTCGTGTTAGTTATGGAAAAGTTAAGAATTTGGTTAAAACTTTCGCTTAAATCACAATAACAATAGAGTGGAGTCATTGTAAACCATAGGTATATTCATATGCACTATGAGTGTTAAGAATCAAACAAATATTTTTACAATTTTCGGCACAATTCTAGACTATTGTGGGGATTGTTATGTATTTTAAATGTCACGACTAAAGAAAGCAAATCGTGTGAAACGCCTTTTCATATTCCGAGTTAACTCCTGTTGAAGACATTTATTTCAAACTTA